GAAGTAAGCAAGGAAGTAAGCAAGGAAGTAAGCAAGGAAGTAAGCAAAGAAGTAAGGAAGGAAGTAAGTAAGGAAGTAAGTAAGGAAGTAAGTAAGGAAGTAAGGAAGGAAGCAAGTAAGGAATTAAGTAAGGAAGTAAGGAAGTAAGTAAGTAGGTAAGCAAGTAAGTAAGCAAGTAAGTAACTAAGTAAGCAATTAAGTAAGTAAGTAAGTAAGTAGGTAAGTACGCAAGTAAGTAAGTAAGTAAGTAAGCAAGTAAGTAAGTACGTAGGTAAGTACGTAAGTAAGTAAGTAAGTAAGTAAGTGAGTGAGTGAGTGAGTAAGTAAGTAAGCAAGTAAGCAAGCATGTATGTATGTATGTGCGTGTCTCTGTGTGTGTGCGTAAGTACCTATGTTGGCATGTACGTATGTACGTATGTACGTAGGTACCTAGGTAGGTAGGTAGGTAGGTAGGTATGCGCGTGTATGTGTATATGTATGTAGGTAGGTACGCATGCAGGTATGTACCTATGTGCGTTCTATCGTATGTATGTAGGTACGGAGGCACCTAGGTATGTAGGTATTTGGTACGTGCGCAGTTGTGGGCGTCCCGGGAGTTGAGGCACCAGGCAGGTAGTGGTCAGGAAAGAGATCTCGGTCTTGGTGTCCTCCTCTATTGCGGGAAAACGAGCTCGACGGAGTTCGGCTCCAAATGGCATGCTCCTGTACCCGGTTTTGTATGGGGCCGGCTTGAGTCCTCAAATGTCTTGAGCCATGTATGTACGTATGTCTCTGTCTGTCTGTCTGCCTGCCTGCCTGCGTGCGTGCGTGCGTGCATGCATGCCTACCTGCCTGCCTGCCTGCCTGTCTGTCTGGTCGGTCGGTCGGTCGGTCGGTCGGTCTGTCTGTCTGTCTGTCTGTCTGCCTGCCTGCGTGCGTGCGTGCGTGCGTGCATGCCTACCTGCCTGCCTGCCTGCCTGCCTGGTCGGTCGGTCGGTCGGTCGGTCGGTCGGTCGGTCGGTCGGTCGGT